GGGGGATATTTGGGTTGGGTTTCTCGGAATGATGGAAGGGTTTCAGACTTGGGCTCCGTGGAAAAGAAAATCAATCAGGGCAAGGAGCCAGAATTCAGCACGGGGACAATGAGGGCCAAAGGGAAGAGCTCCAGGACGCTGACACTGGCATGAGGGTGATCATTTTAATTTCCAGTAAATCGAGTTTAATGTAACCTCGGCCGTGAGGAAGAGAAGATGAATGGCAGCGTTAACAGCACTCGGCACTTTGTGTCTTAAGCCTTTATTAATTTTTACCAGGAATTCAACACCTGAAATAATTCCTTTATCGAATTTTCTGCTCCAGGTGTTTCTGCTGCAGAGCTCAAGGCGTTTTTTGTTGTTTTTTTTTTAATCACTGAATTAATTAATATTCCAAGAGAGAAAATTCCTTTTTTTTTTTTCCCCTCATGAAACTGGCACTCTATTACTTAACATGAACTTTTTTTATTTTTTTTTTTTGTGTTATACATTCAATTCTCTTCTCCCTCTGTAAACGTGATTTCAAAGAATTTCTTCCAGAGGAAATTTTTGGTCATTTTCTGTTCTTTGCCAAATATTCTGTGCCCCTTGATATTACAAAATCCTTTTAAATCAAAACTTTTGATCGTGTTTTATTTAATTATTTACTATTTAATATTTATTTAATGAGGAAACAACTCAGTTAAGTCCAGCTTTGCTTTAGTTTCAGTGATACTCCAGAACCCAATAAATTAATTTACATTTTATTGATGCCTTAACCTCATTCTGCTTGATTTTATTTTTATTTTTACTTTCCATTTTAGGTACAAAATGATGATTTTTTTTTTTCCCCCTGCTGATATTGAATTCTTAATTTCTTGTATCTCTCTGGGTTTTAAAGGATGGTTTTATATTCCTTACTCTCTTTTTTTTTGGCTAAATCCAGCCAAGTCTTTTTATTCTCTTTGCCTTTGATTTCATTCTCCTACTGCAAAAAAAAAAAAAAAAATCCTTTATTTGTATGAGTCAAGTGAATTGATGAGTAATAAAGGGAAAATTGATCTGGATGAGAGTGGAGTCACTGGAATCAGCATCCAGAAAAACATGAGTGGGATGGAATCCTCCCCAGAGGCGCAGAACAAAACCCTGATTTTATAAAAATGAAACCCTGATTTTATAAGAACAAAATCTTGATTTTATAAGAACAAAACCCTGATTTTATAAGAACAAAACCTTGATTTTATAAGAACAAAACCCTGATTTTATAAGAACAAAACCCTGATTTTATAAGAGCAAAATGCTGATTTTATAAGACTGAAACCCTGATTTTATGAGAACAAAATCTTGATTTTTATAAGAGCAAAACGCTGATTTTATAAGAACAAAACCCTGATTTTATAACAGCAAAACCCTGATTTTATAAGAACAAAATCTTGATTTTAAAAGAACAAAGCCCTGATTTTATAAGAACGAAACCCTGATTTTATACGAATAAAACCCTGATTTTATAAGAACAAAACTCTGATTTTGTAAGAGCAAAATGCTGATTTTATAAGACTGAAACCCTGATTTTATAAGAACAAAGCCCTGACTTTTAAAATTTTAAATTTTTTAAAATTTTTTTAAAATTTTTTAATTTTTTAAAATTTTTTTTAATCTTTAATTTTTGAAATTTTTAATTTGTTTTTAATTTTTAATTTTTTTTAAATTTTTAAAAATTTTTTAAATTTTTATTTTTTAGAAAAATTTTAAGCTATCTTTTAAACTTTTTCTTTTTTTAACTTTTTTTTTAAAATTTGTTTTTAATTCTATTTTTAATTTTTAAATTTTTTTTTAAATTTTTAAAAATTTTTAAATTTTTAATTTTGTTTTTAAATTTTAAGCTATCTTTTAAACTTTTTCTTTTTTTAACTTTTTTTTAAAAATTTGTTTTTAATTTTATTTTTAATTTTTAAATTTTTTTTTAAATTTTTAAAAATTTTAAATTTTTTTTTTTTAATTTTAAGCTATCTTTTAAACTTTTTCTTTTTTTTAACTTTTTTTTAAAAAATTTGTTTTTAATTTTATTTTTTTATTTTTAATTTTTTTAAAATTTTTTTTAATTTTTTTTTTTTTTTTACTTTTTAAAATTTATTTTTAATTTTATTTTATTTTTTTTTTTCCCCCCTACGGAACAGCAACTTTTCAGCTGCCAGGCCCTGCGCAAGTTGAGCATCCCCGACAATGACCTGGCCACGCTGCCCGCGGCCATCGCCAGCCTCGTCAACCTCCGAGAGCTCGACATCAGCAAAAACGGTGAGAAACGCAAAAAAAAAAAAAATATAAAAATAATTAAATTGGAACGCCTGAAAGGTGATAAAATAAAGAGAATAAAAGAATAAAAGCGTATTTGGAAAAAAATAGAAGAAAAAAAATTAAAATGTAGAATAAAAAGTAAAAAAAATGTAGAATGAAAAATGAAAAAAAAAAAGTGAAGAAATTCCTGCTCCGTGTTGGGTTTCCAGCCTGGAGCTTTGGGGGAGGATCCGCGGGAATTCAGCTCTGGGTTTTCATTTAAAAATCAGAAATCCCGCTCTGGTTTTTTCTACAAAAATCAGAAATCCAGATCTGATTTTTCATTTAAAAATCAAAAATCCCGCTCTGATTTTTTCCTTTAAAAATCGGAAATCCAGCTCTGTTTTTTTCTACAAAAATCAGAAATCCAACTCTGTTTTTTTCCTTGAAAAATCAAAAATCCCGCTCTGATTTTTTCCTTTAAAAATCAAAAATCCAGCTCTGATTTTTCCTTTAAAAATTGGAAATCCAACTCTGGTTTTTCCTCTAAAAATCAGAAATCCAGATCTGATTTTTCATTTAAAAATCAAAAATCCCGCTCTGAATTTTTCCTTTAAAAATCGGAAATCCAGCTCTGTTTTTTTTTTTCTTTTAACAATCAGAAATCCAACTCTGTTTTTTTCCTTGAAAAATCAAAAATCCCGCTCTGATTTTTTCCTTTAAAAATCAAAAATCCAACTCTGTTCTTTCCTTTAAAAATCAAAAATCCCGCTCTGATTTTTTCCTTTAAAAATCAAAAATCCAGCTCTGATTTTTCATTTAAAAATCAAAAATCCCGCTCTGTTTTTTCCTTGAAAAATCAAAAATCCAACTCTGTTTTTTTCCTTGAAAAATCAAAAATCCAGCTCTGATTTTTCATTTAAAAATCAAAAATCCCGCTCTGATTTTTCATTTAAAAATCAAAAATCCAGCTCTGATTTTTAATTTAAAAATCAAAAATCCAGCTTTTTTTTTTCCCCTTTTGATGGCCATTAAAACCTTTGCCGTGTGAGCTCCCGGCTCTTTATTCTCTTTATTTTATTAAAAACGAGGCTCAGGAACGGCCGGAAATTTTGGGAAAATTGGGAAATTTCCCTGGAGACTCCGAGGATTCCGTGAGAGAAGAGCAGGGAGGGCACAAATCTCAGCACGAATGATTTCACTGCTCCTTCCAGAACCTTCCACAAACCAACCCTGACACAAGAATTA